CAAATTCTTATAGAATATTTGGGACACGAGACATTCTACTCCAAAATCTTATGCCGAAAATTGTATTCAATATTTTTAGAATTCGAAGTCTTTCTCTATGATTTGAATCCCCAAAATTCGAAAGAAATTTTATGTGCGAGATATTTCCTTGTGTCGTCCCAACGAGACCCTAAATTTTCTTGGTTCTTCTGGAACGCCCATTATTTCTTATATATTTAGAAAGTAAGATTTTTGATAGAAGATTTCCAGAAAATATTGGACGGGAGTTCCCGAATTTTTCTTCCAATTTTTCTGACAAATTATAAGACCAGAGGCGCTTTGATAGAATTCCAATATAATGTCGCCGTCCGTTCGATTCTTTCGTGCGATCAATTCGGCGGGAGTCGAGTTGTGACGAGTAAAAATATAAAGAAAATTTTGTCTCGACGACAATTATTTCTACGATTTTGCAATCTTGAATAGTCAGTCGGGCGTGTCTCTTACGATATCTGTCGTAGTATCTATCGTCGACCATTTGTGGGCTAGTGTCCGTCATTTATCGTTGTCCGTCTATCTTAATCGTCTATCGTTCATCGTGGCGGCCGTCGTCCGATATCGTATCGACTATTATCTTCTCATAAATCGTCGTATCGTCTATCGCCATATCGATCGTCGTCGGTTATTTGTCCGTACGTCGTCGATCCGTATAATTTCCATCGGTAGGTCGTAAGTCGGCGAATCATCTATCGTATTTTCTATTGCAATATCGGTCTTTCTTTATAATATCATTTATCATCATATCGTCTAATATCGTAAAATATAAATCTTCGTCGTATTATCGATTATCGAAACGAGTCTCGATATATAGCACATGAATATAATATTTTTCAATAATTTATTTATTTTCTCTCTTTCATTATCTTATTTTTGACTCCTGTGTGATAACGTCTGGCGATTCCGCAAATACAAATATTATAACATTCAGTCGATATTCATCCCTTCTACCAAATTGGGCAAATATAGCTGTGCTCACAATCAAATAGTCTCAAGGCGCACGTGCAACTAATGTTTTGCATATATAGTGGACATCATATTACAGATTATCAAGGTCAGGGTACATATCATAGCCCTCAGGTCAGTGACGCAGCTGGTGCATGTACAATCGACGCCATATTACAAGCAAGGTCAGGCCGCGTCAGGTAGCCCTCAGGTCTTTGACACTACTCATATCTCAATTCCCTAGTGCTCACTCAGGTCTTGTCGGGCTCCGCCTTCGATCGTCTTTCTCTTATTGTTGGATCCAGAAATCACTCTGAGACATGGTTCACACCACAAATTGGAGGCAGAAGTCGCTCTATGACACGGTTCACACCATAATTGTACTTCTTGCGCTCATACCATGCCAGGTTCTCTATTTCCCCCGATTGTTGTACCAGGCAAGGTCGAAAGTCCTTTCCTCATGGCACCACAGGAATCATAGTTTCTCTGTATAACGGGGCCTATATAGAGGCAGCGTACCAAAAGATGTCGGTTCGGCCGTCCGGTGAAATTTGCAATAAGAGTAAATGTACGAAACGAGCATTCGCCATCCAGCGGGGCCTGTGCAGAGGCGGCGCGCAAAGAAACGTTCGTTGGGTCGTAGCATGTTCGGGCAGTACGGACAAGCCAATTTATAGTCTTCAGGCGGGGCCTATGCTCAATACGCCAAACGCTACCAATATCTATAGGTAAAATGACTGCTAGCTTTGCATATCATCGACCTCCATCGTGTACAAAGCGAAAAAATCGTCCAATTAGATATTTACGCGTCATCTAATCAGCCACAGGTCCATATATAAATTGTCGCTAGCTTTACAGAATCTTGGCCAAAAAACAGCGTCTCCCAGAGAAGGCGAATCCATATAAATAGAACCAAAGATTCGTCTAATTAAGACATCCAAATGTCATCCCTATAATCGTTAACTGTGTAAATTGGAAATCATCAAACGGCACGAGAATCTATATATCCATATAGATGTCCATAGTTTCAACACGAACGATGAATTAGTATTATTATCTTATATTTTTTATCAAAAAATCGTATATCATAATATTATTTTTCTATCTTCATATTAATAAATATTATATCTTTAATCATTACCTCATTTATTTAAATAATATTTATCTATATCAAAAAAAATCATATATTCAAAATTATATTTCTTACTATTTTTTCAAAGACCATATAATAGAATATAATATTTTAAGTAAAGAAATATTAGATTTATAAAAACTATCTATTTCGATAATAAATATTATAATTTCGAATAGCTTATAAATTATAATTATAGAATAATATATCAAATCAGAATAATATGAATTTTTCTAGAATAGAATCATTTAATTTCAGAAATATTAATTATAAAATTCTCTTTATAAATTTTACAGAAGTAAAAATCAATAATAGTAATAATAAAAATTAATCTAAAGATTTTCTATAGAAATAATATAATAATCTATATTCAGAATATTTTATCTATTTTTATCTCGATAGATAATATTATAGGTCTTATGATATTTGTAATTATTATGAAGGAATTATCATCTATAATTCAAAGGATATGAATCTTAAATTAGAATTTCGATTCTTTATTAAATTATGAAAATTCATCTTATCATTTGATCTAGATTGAAGTAGCACGAGATATGTTGAATTCGATGAAATATTTTCATTCTATATAAATTTTTCTCTCTAGATCGTGCCCGATGGATTTTAAGATATCGATCTATCGGATATATATATATATATGTTACCAATAAAAACATATATGTATATATATATTAGTATATCTCCGTCATTGGGAGCAATGAGTGCTTATCATAAAAATGTATATCATATTGGAAACTAAAATAAATAGAACATCGATTTTCGCCGTCACCCGCTTTTTGCTTCTTCGATCCACGCGCATGATAAGGCCAGCATGAGGAATGCCTGCGAGAAGAGTGCGCGGGCGACTTTCAGTCAACTGACAGCGGCACTTGCATGTCTTTGGCGCAAACGTATGGTTGCAGCCTGCTGCTCTGCTGTTGTCTCTTTAGGGGTCATGGGGGGAAGGCGATAGGCTTAAACTTTAAACCGCACAAGCCTTTTGCACATGAAGACAGCACACCCAAGTGTCTTTTATTGACGACCGTATGACGCGACCTCTCGCCATGAGAGACTTGGGAGTTCAGCGCTTAGCGCTTGGGTTCCGATGTAAAGGGCAAGGGGCCCATGGTGATCGAAATCGAGACAAGCTCACGTCACAAACCAAGGATGCTGTACCTCATTGGAAGGTTAAACAGTTAAGGAGCCACAGAGCCACATGAACAAACGCTTCGTATTCCATGGAACCCAGAAGACACGACTTCACCCCACCCGGACGCTCATCAACGCCAGATTCTCAAATCTAATGCTCTCGCACTCCAGAGCATTCCTACGCAACATCTAAACCCTGATCCCTAACCCTTGCGACCTACAAAGCCTCATAACCGAATATGTGGGCCTTCATAATTTGGGAATTGGTTATACCTATATGGAACCGCGAAAATAGTGTTGGTAATGATTTGGGCCCCTATGTTACACACAATCCCTATCAGCTCGTGCTTTCTCAGAAGGTTAGGGCCGCCACTGCATCAATGCGAGGCCATGCGCCGTGATGCAGATTCCTGTGGGTTTGGGGTTGAGGGCCAGAGCTCCTAACACTTGGTCGTAGGGTTGAGGGATCCAGAACTCCTTGCCCCCTAAACGGCCGCAACCCCAAGCTCAAAAGCCACTCAAGAAAGCCTGAACCCACAAATCCGTAGATACCGTAAACCCTATTCAAAAGCCGCAGACCCTGCCACCCAAAAGTTCTAAATTCTAAACCCTGGCAGCCCTAAACGCGTAAGAAGCCCTGCCCTTGGACGATGCAGATTCAGCTCTGACCCCTCGGATGGTCTAGGTAGCTGCATGCAGCGGGATCTCCGGGCCCTGCTCCCGAAACCCTTATGCTTCTCTACACCTGGCACTTCGATTCGACTCCCAATTGGGACATGCCGGGCTCGGACATGCAACAGGAGGTGCTTTGGTGCTTAGTCGCCTGGACGTGAAACCTCTTCGGAAGGGATGATGACGAGGAAATACACAGAACTTAGGGCTTAGGGTTCTACAGTATTCTCAAGCTCTGCTGCCTGTATTCTAAACTCCACAAGGTGTGACCCACGGGCGCACAGGCCTTGTGGTGTGAACTCATGCACACGCTGTGGCAAGACCCGGGCCAGTGATCGCAGAAACCTCGGCAGGGATCCCTTCTCGGCATATCCTGAGCTTCGGCTTGTTAGGTGCTTCAGTTTGGGGTGATTGTTGTGACTGTAGCTGGTAAAGGACTCCAAGTCTAGGCTGAGAGAGAGGAGGTTCGATGGCATTCTTTTGGACGTCCCAAACCGCCAAGTGCCTAGAGCTACCTTGGGAATTTGAGGCTGCTTCATCATGCAGCTGTGCGCAGGTGCGGACTTTTTGCACGTAAAACTTCTGCAGTGCCAGGTCCAAGAGAAACAGGCATGCTGCCCAGGACCAGGAAGCTGCCTCTGTCAGGGCATTCTGGTGAACGAACTGGACGTACCAGTGATCATCACAATCATTGAATCATCCGCCCTGATCCTCATCCTCATCGCTAGGACCTGCTAGAATGTTCGATGCTGCCTCTCTCAAAGTGGCACGCCGGCCCGGTGCATTCATGATCAGCAAGTCTTGGGCTTGTCCGCTTGGTCACCCGAAGACCTCGCCAAACCGATGTCTGATCTCGACAGGGCCCTGGAGCTTGTATTCGCACGTGAAGATGTCCTCCTGCGGGGCGTGCTCGTCAGCAAGTTATGCCAGAAACCATCTGGGTCTGCAGCGTCGCTGGCGCAATCATGCGCAGCAGGGCATCGCGGAGGCGGCGGCATCGGAGAAGACAACAGGAGGCCGGCACATTAACATGGCCTGGTCGCTGGTCGACGCTGGTCATCTGCCCGTCGCCTCAGGTCTTGCATTCTTCGGCAGCATTGAAAAGCTGAAGAGCTCTTCTGGCGACGTCTGTGACGAGGTAGCCTCCAGACCTGGGAACACGACGGTGTTTGCAAGGAGCGCACAATCCAAATCTCGTGATGCCATCTATTTGCGTGACCGGGATCTCTCTGACTCAGTCTCTCTGTCCTCTATCAAAGTACCTCTCCAAGTATCTCTTCCGCCGGGATGGCCTGATGTGACTGGCGGTTTAGCAGGTCTTTTGGGCATGCCGAGCTGCAGGAAGTCATCGACGCTGACGACGGGAAGGCCCGCAGGGGCCTCAGGCCTTGCCGTTTTGGATCCAGGCTGCAGAAAGAGGAAGGCCTGCCAGGGAAACCGATCCAAGATCCGCGAAGGACTGGGTCCAGTCTGTCCGCTTTTGCTCTTGCACCCTTGCACTTGAGACCCGGCACCTATAACCCCCTCAACGTGCACTGAACAAGGCCGGGCCTCGTGCTCCTTTTTGTCGATGGCGCTCTGATACCGCCTCGCTAGGCTGCCCTAAGGCTCATAGGCGCTGCACCCCGGTTGGTCGTTGCATGTAAGCCGCATACCCTCCTGCTTAGTTTGAGAATTCACGTTGACCTGATTTTTCATGATTTTTCCCTCGGTCCTGCCTGAACACGTCGCCGGCAGGGAGGGCCAACTGAAGGTACAACACAAACTCGTACCTGAGCAGCGTGCCGTTTAGGTGCATAGCAAAAACACTCCACAGACTCGAACAAGTCGGCAGGTGTCCTTTTACCTCCTTATATGACCAGGAATTCTCAAAGGCAAAGTCAAACAACCCCCTGTACGATGGATCTTACAAAGATGACCTGCTGAAAAAACTCGACGTGCCAAAATATGTCGGCTCACCCAGCTTGACACACCAGGGCCCCGACCTCCTTCTGTATCCTAACCCAAAACCCCAACCCCCAAACCCGGAAACCCCCAAAACCCCAAAGCCTCAAAAACCCTACTCCGGAGTGCTTGTGGCCCTGCTCTGCGCCCGTGTCCAAGAGCGCGTAGAAGTCGCAGCGACGAACGTCGGCCCAGTCCACGCCGACCTCCTCTTCGAGCTCCTTCTTGGGGTTCTTATTTTGTTCTGATATTTGCATGCTTTTCCCTTCCGACAGTGGCATGATGATGGCAGGATTCCTGCTGGGTAGGATCCCTGCTGGCTCTGATCATGATAGTCATCGTAGTCCCCATAAACAAACACAGCAAAGCGGTCTGCTTGACTCCAGCGTCTCCGTCAGCATAAAGAACCTCCCTAGATTCTTCCTAACGATGATCATACCTCAGTTCATCTGTAATGGCATTTAACCCAGCATTCTACAACAAAAACCTGCTCTTTGAAGCTAACCAACTTACTCTCTGGGGCGGGAGCTCTGGAGCCAATTGCTTTCGGAGAAACGAGTTTGGCTGATATCTTGACCTCCGAGGGTTTCTGTTAAGTAGGGTTTATGTAGGACTTAGGGCCCCGGGCTTCAGGCTTCAGCTGCTGCCCCAAGCCCAGATCCTTCTATCCTTCTGCACGGTGTGCAGCAGGTCAGGTGCATCTACCACCCCTGCGGGCACGCAGTGGAAGTAGCCAGGAAAAGCGCCAACGTACTGCGATCGTTGGCCTCAGTTCAGTCAAGTGCACCAGGAAAGGCAAAAGACTGTGATAGAGTGAGGCAAATATCAATTGCTACCCCAAGCAAAGAACGTGGCTGGCGCAATGCCGCGATCTCAAGCCCTTGAGAAATGTCTGAAATCCAAGCTGGCCCCTCCCCCCCACTTCAAACCGCCAAACCGCAACCCCCAGACCCAAAGCAGAGGGATCTTGACAGGTCTCTTTTTTTGGCGATGGGCGTGGGCAAAAAGAAGATGATACAATATACCACGTCCAAATATTTAGCAACCCTAAAGCCTAAACCGAAGCTTCGACACTCGCAAACCCCTCAACCCCAAAACCCTAAACCGAAGCTTCGGATACTCGCCGAGGGAGGGGCCGAAGACCAGCAGCCCATCCGCCGTCTCCGTGAGCGCCATCAAACCGCAGGCCCCCGAGCGCCTGGAAAGAGAGCTTAGGGATGTTGGGCTGTTTTTTTTGTGGGCACGACCCTTTTCCCCTGAGGATTTTGGGCGGTCTTATAAGAGGTGTCGGATTTGGTAGGGTTCTCGTTCGAGGGGGAGTCAGAGCAAAGGGGCTGTGAGTCATTAGTGCTACGGGGTTTAGGGTTTAGGGGATCGCTTGCAGTTGCATTGGGTTTCAGGGTTCGGCGCTCAAGGGATGCAGTGATTCACGAGTTTCGACACTCACGCGCGCGCGCGCGACAGGCAAGGCTCTAGGCATCAGGCTCGACAATGCTACGACGAGTTGCATGAGACGACGAAAACCCTACCACCATAAATCGAAAGCCTCTGCCACACCCAAGCGAATAACTTCATCGAGAGAGGTCATCGCCTGCAAAGGAAAAATAATCATTCATCACTCACGTGATCAGAAATGCAAGACATCAGGCCTCAAGTAAACGCAAAGCAACGCTTACGTTCGGCTCGTGAATGAGCAGTAGCTTGCGCTGCGCGGGTCATGCTATGAATTCCTGACTTTATCTTCGCTACTGTACATGACACAGGGCCTTCTGGCAAAGTTCTCCAAGACAAAGGGAGTTTCGGGTTGTGGTTTACAACGGCGTTTGCTGAATCGTTTGCTATCCGCGTAGCTAACTGAAGTCACGGGGTGAGAAGCAATGAGAGAAGCATGCTCTTACAAATATCCGGGAAACACAGCAGTGGCAGCCAGCACCGCAGACAACTGAAAACATCGTTGAACAGCTCACTGCACCAATATGACGAAGAGCAGGCCGACTAGCACGAACAACCCAAAATCCATACCCCGACGGCTCTCAGCTACTCCGATTCGCGTGACAGGACACCTCGAAGACCGCAAGGCTCCGGGTCACAACCCAAGCGACCAAATCGTATCACCTTGGGAGCCTTGCAACCGAACCGAGTCCTGAACCTAATCTGAGGGATAGTTCCCCCACTTGCATGAGTTCAAGCAGACCAAGAACTCATCTGCTGCGCAATGCTGCAGAGGGATATTTTCATGGAAGTCGCAGTGACTCGAGCAGGTCTAGGGTCTAGGCTGCGCCAGCAGCCGCCGGGGCTTCTGCCGCCGCTTTCTTTGCAAAATACTCTGCCATGGTCATCACGCTGTCTGGAAGCTGGTCGAAGTACTCGTCAAACCATTCCTCGATCTCCTCGAATGCCGTTTCAAAGTTCATGTCGGTCCTCTTTTCGGTTTCTTGCTTCGCGACTGACACGAGAGTCCCCAGAATGGCTTGGAACCATTTGTTGGCTGGTCGATCATCCTGAACTCCACATGCTGAGCGGATATCCTCCATCATTGACAGTGGCATCAGTCCTAGGTGTTCCCCAGTCGCTTAAGGACAGGGGCACCCTTCTCTTGGCTTTTGGCACCGAGGCCGAGACCTAAACAGTTTACAAGGGCACTGGTAGAAACCCAGTGTCTCATCTCTGGGTCGTGCTCCCCATCTGCGGACCACTCATAGGGTGCTGGGGGCCAAATCAGGTCGCCCTCACGACCATCCTTCAAGTAGCTCAGCTTAAAAGCGTTGTACTCCGCTTCCGCATTAACGATATTCGCTTGTCGGATTTGAAAGAGGACAGGGCGGCTGCCGACTCTTGCATGCAACCTTGCAAAAGGGTTGTGTAGACAAGGCCCTCTACCTTAGTCATAGCCGTTTGATGCTCACTTCTCCAGCTTCCGAAGGGAACTGGGGCACGACAGGTAAACCGCTCGGATTATACGGCGGTTGTAGTCAGTTGTAGTAGCCCAAAATGAAAAAGGCCATACCGTACTTTGTCACACAGGCTATCTAACCTACTAACTGCTGAGCATAAGAACTCCTGGGCCCCGGCCTTGCATAGCTAAACAGCACGGGGGAATGCAGCGCGGCTCCGTGTGCAGTGGTGAAGTCGCAGCTGGTCCACACGAGATCCTTTTCCATGGAACCCTGCGAAAACCCGATCTTAAACCCTCAGAATGCTAAGAAACGTTGACTGTCATGACCCCTGATGCTGCTGAAGCCCATTCGGCACGGATAGTAGCCTGCAAAACCCGCAGAACCCACTCATCCGGAGGTCCTTTTCCTCGGTGCCTTTGCCAGGCACTGCCTTGATCTGACCTTGGCAGCCGGCCTGTAGCTTGGCCGAGTCTCACTCCAAACGACCGTAAGCCCTGAACCCCGAACCATACACACCCGTATGGTATTTTTGTCGGCCCTACAAAACCCTATAACTCCCACTCAAACCGGAAGAGGGGGGGTCCTTTTCATCGGTGCCTTTGCCGGGCACTGCTGCCTTGATCCGACCTTGGCAGCCGGCTTGGAGCTTCTCCAAGCGATCGGCCACCTTCTTCAGGTCTTCCGAGCTCCTAAGTGGCCCAGAAAACCCTTGATACACCAAAAACTCCTTTTTTTCTTCATGTACAGGTTGAATAAAGAGAGCTTCCCACAGAAAAAGAACAGGGTAGAGTTGGGGGGCCCAGGCTCAGGTCCGAAAACAGCTCATCATCCTTGGCCTCCACTAGCTGCAGTAGCAACTTCTGCCGTTTTGCAGGACCTTGTCCGCTCGAAGCTGCTGAGGCTGCTGGAGGTCCCTCGCGTTTCACTGGCCGACTGCGAGAGGGATCGTCTGCACGGTATTGGATCATTCTCTCCAGGTCAACTCTCCAATCATCCAGTACCACGTGTTCCTTGGTGCCTGTTTGGAAGAGCCGAAAGCCGGCCTCCAAGCGTTCCGACTGCGCAGCAGCATAGGGTGCCCAGCCTCTTGCGACTTTGAAGAACCAGGACATGCGGCCACCGCGCAAGCAGCGAGGACAAATGTCGGAACGGTAAACTGAAGCATTCCGTTCTATGAATCCTTGTGATCCTGCTCCTGGTAGTTGTTGATAGGATCTTGCTCGGTGGTGATCTCTCAATGAAGCTTCAGATCTACTGCGTGGAGCTGCGGGGGTGGATCTGAGAGTCAGCCGGCGAGTCCGCCCACGCTCTGAAGCTCAGCGCGTGGGAAGATACCCTACGCTTAGAACCTCGTAGCCATCTGTAGACCTGACATCTATGCCTCCTTAAACCCTTAGCCCCTGAAGCCCTGAAGGCGGAATCCCGTTGTGCAATCGCCTGAAGGTCTAAGCCCCTAAACCCCAAGCTCGCAATGTGAACCACCGGGTTCCGGCCTGGCCGCATCCATCTGCTTCCCAGCATCCGAGAGATGCGTGTAGATAACGTACTTAAAGCTCGTCTCCTCTTGTGGGTGATGCTTGACCTCTTCTACATTAACATGCCCAAAGGCTCTCTGCGTGCCTCTTCTTTGCTGCTCGACGCATGGCTTTGAGTGGCAGAACCGCACGCAGTCCTGCATCTCCAGCAGGAGACGTGGTGCCACTTCTCCCACGCACACCTCTGCAGCACCGCACCAGATGTTGGACTCCTGTTAAACTGCGCCGAATCACAGCAATCTTCCACAGCCTACCCGGTCACCAAGCTCCAAAAGTGCAAGCTCACAAAGGCTGCACGCAGTCGATATGTGTGTGTGTGTGCGTGCGTG